GTCTGACAGGATTATCCTCCGCCACGCCATTACGCCACGGAAGGCACGAAGGACTACGTAATTGATACTGGTATTGCCATTTCCTAATAATAATGTTTGAAATGTATTATCAGTTTCTTGTTTATTTATAATATTTGAAATGGTCATGTCGCTGAAGTTTCACTCCGATAGCACATGATCCGAAAATACTGTCAATGGAAATGTGAGTTATCACAACCGTTGTTAATTTAGACAATATTCCAATACTAAGGCAACATACTTATAGGATCTTGGGGATGGTCGTGTCGGTCATGAAAACCGAATAAACACCGTATAATGTGGCGTTTTTAAAGATTTAGCCCATCATTAACACAGTAGTAAAAGGTAAAGGTACCAAGAAATTGGTTGAAGTTTATTATGGATTGGATAACATACGGTATATAATTATCTACGGCAAGCCAAAGTTTGGTCTATTGTTGCGGTAAGTTACGAGGGGGGTCGGATCAGAAGAGTGATGTTTTGTTAGGACAAATAATATTATTTCGAGGAGCGTGTTCCCCTTGGGCCAAGTAAGAAGTGCGCGAAAAAGAAATCTTTTTTGCGATAGAAATCGGATACAGAACTTCGGATTGAACGTTGGTACGCTATTCGGCATGAAAGTCGACCGCTCAGAATGTCTACTTTGTATTCAGCGTCATAAGATGCTCTTTTATAATCAATATTTCATAGTCAAAGCCAACAAAGAGTTTTAATAAAGTGCAATCTACTTAAATAAAATAATACATCTTTGTAGTAAAGACGATCTTTTTTAGTGATTATAGACACTGTAGCATACAGACTGCGTTTCACGTTGTTTATAAGTTTGACTATTAACTTGTTGGATAGTATCCGTTATTTTCTACTTAAAATTCTTATAAACAACTAGTAATTAATGCGCTAATGTTGCTTGTCAGAGCAACTCCATAATAATAGATTATTATCGCTCAAAAATTCACATACCGGTTATATGTTAACTTAAAAAATCCGAACAGACAGCGCATGGTGTTATATCCTAGCTTCTTTTCAATCGCATAAGTTAATATTTATGAAGTCATGGCCAAATTTTTCGGGCAATTTCTATTTGTTCATTTGCCGTTGCCGAGTATAATCATACAACCAACCCACCCAGTAATATAATAATTACATTGGCATGTTCGATCGCTTATGTTCAATAGAATTTCTCAACTGCAATAAATCTTGATATGTATAAAAGCATAAACTTAAGTCAAAGTTTTGAAACCAAAAAGACCTCCCAATCAACCCATTCAAAATGATCCGATGAAGATCTTATTGGAATCTGATAGGATGTTTTTTTCGCATAAGGCCTACCGTTTCGCCCATCACCAAAAAATAAATCGCTCCCATTCCCAAAATCAGGAAAATGATTCTTCCTATCATCAATGGCATGATGAGGACTACTAACACAACTTATTAGCCGCTTATTTCTGTTTGTATCTAGCGAAAATATAAAACTTTCTGCAGTCGTAACAAAACCATATTTGGTCCCCCATGCAATTGGATTGTATCCACCAAGTATTTCTTCAGTATCCAACACTTTCCCAACAGTTATTGTAGGTCCTTTCTTACTACACATCTCTCTAAATTTCATAACATTATTGCCATCTCTACTTCGTCTATAAAGTAGAGTAAATTCACAAGCATTATCTTGTTTCATAGCTGTCCTTTGATTTTCTTGAGGTCGCTCTGGTGACACAATTTTTGATGCAATCCACCTTGCTTGATTTTTGTTAATAACAAATGAATTAATACTATACCCTTGACCTTTTCTTGGTAGTAACATGTGACTGTTTGATCTTAAAGACAAACTCATATGACATTTGAGTACATCACGACACAATGTTTTTGGTAATAAATCATAATATTGAACAATCTTTTCAGAAGACATACTGGAAAATCTTATATGAGGCATACAATCTGTGATAATATCTCTGATCGTGTTGATGTCATCAGAAGACCAACTATCAAGATTTTTTCCAAGTTCTAGTTCGGGTACTTGTTTAATAGCCCATTGGATGACTGATGTCCAAATATTATCTTCATCCATGTCAAGATCATCACTCTTGAGAAGAGTGATCAAAGTCTTCTTTGGCAAAACTGCAAGATCTTTTGATTTAAATATACTATCTGGGTGAGAGATCATAACTTTATTGCAATAGTCAAAAAGTCTGTTCAAAGAGACGGCAGATGCGGCATAGTTATGAACTGTGAGAATATTCTCTTGAATCCATTCCTTCTGGTTGTTGATTAAGTATGTTTCAATTGCAGTGAGAAGATCAAATAATTCAAACTTGCAAGCTCCATCCAAAAGATTAATCCAACCTATATTCTTGCACGAATCGTAGGCTATTTGCCCACCGTAAATATACCTATGAATCGTTAAATTTGCAACGAGTATAAGTATCAGCACTGTACATAACTTGTACACAATAACTCCTTAACGATTTACAAAACACTACCTGAGTAATATTTCAAAAACGTCAGGTTTCACATCTTCAAAGGTTATGGCCGCCTTTGGAATCTCTCCAGGCGTCTCTGTATTCTCGGTTAAGCTATCCTCGAGAAATGTGCTTCTCGTGCATAATACAAACGCATGAGCGAGAAATATTTTGTTGTTCGGCTCCCTTCCAACATTGATTGAAATATCCGTATATTTGCCACTTTCATAAAGCTTCTCATAGTCGGCCGAAAGACGTGAGAGCAAGTCAACCACGTAATACATTTTGTGTAAAGTTCTAGGGTGATAAAGCTTTAATCTTCATTCTTTGCAAATAGATGATTGATCTTACCAATATGTGTAACATGAATATCTAAAAAAGGGAATCGGTTACGTTTGCCTATATTTCCTAACTTCATGCTGCTGTATTTATTGCATTTCAAGATATGAAAGACTACGCTACTTATTTGATTTATTCGTCAGAAAACGCCGGTCAATACTGTCTATTATTAATAAGGCATGAGGATAGGTTCAAATTCACAAGTCATGAGAGCGATGAAAAGCAAAATTTAACCTGTAATATTATGAGCAACTACAAAAATTGTTACCATTTTAACGTTAACTTTATCAAACCTCTTCACTCAAGAGGTATTGTCTTTCATGTCTGTTCACTAACTATTAAATGTACGTTTAGTTAGCATTGTATTGTTAATATATCATACGACCATGAAATAAAATCACATGCCTGAAAAATCGAACTTTTTATGCATAAAGTTTTTCTTATTGCATAGCTTTTTTGTTACTGATGTCTTCCAAAAGCCAAAAACCGAAACAAAGAAGCGCCGAAAGTGAGAGTTCTCAAACAAAGAAACGAAAAAACGTCGAAACTGAAAGTCCGGGCTCTTCTGCCACCCGTCAGCAACCCAAACGCCTTGCCACGAATAAGCTTGGGCTCAGTGACGGTTCCAGTTCCAGTATTAGTTCTCGTTCCAGCTATGGCTTAAATGATCTTCCTTCTTTGGTATCTAAATTCACAAAGGGAGATACGGCGGCACTAAACGCAACCTTCGAATCGGCTTCCAACGAGAACGAAGTCATACCTGATGTTGAAGATAAGAGTTACGTTGCTTTAACAAATCTTAGTGAACCTAATACTTATAATTTAAATATTGTCCAGTCACTGAATTTTCGGATGAGTATGTTCTCCCTGATATATCGATGGTGAAATGCTTGCAAATCCAAGATTCGATGTTCGCAATCTTGAAGACATCTCAAATCCTGACGTTCAAACGTTCCTTACCAAATTGAATGCTGTCGTGTTCAATGGTCTTCAGGCAGTTGGCACAGATGAAACCTTTACCGACACATTTGTGGATGATCTACTTCGTATTGCTAAATAAATAAATTTCCCTTAATGATCAGGTATGTATGGTAATCAATTTTTTTTTGTGACATACTTCGACCGGTCTAATGTTGCATTTTCAAAATCAAGAAATCAACCGCCAACCAAACTATACATCCAGGATGTTGCATGCGTGACATCAGTCCCTGATTTCGTAATTGAGAAGGAAAACCGTAACATTGTTGTGGTAGAGGTCTGTATGTTGGTTGATCGTTTGAGAAATTATTATTTTCGTCGTCTCAAACAACTTTTTTAACAGGACAAACAACTGAAAAATGTCGGGTATGCTACTGATTTTGGGGAAACACAGATCGCTGTGGAGATTCTTTCTTGTGGTAGTGAGAATATACGATCCCTTGGGGAAGCACCTAGAGATCAGACAATATGGGCTATTCGTGTAATCTCTACATATGTTACCTTTTATAAAGCTACGATTACTGCAATGTATTGGATGGAACTTGCAAACGGCCTACCGAAAGAAGAGTCAGTTAAGGTTCAAAGATGGCCAGCTGAGAATGGTTTGATGACTGGTTTCGATCTCGCTGAACCAGAAGGAAGGTGTTTAGTTTTGACAGCGTTAACCAAATTCGTGAATCGCTTTTATAAGACGAGGAAGACGAGGGGGGAGAACAGCTGTCGTAATAATGCGGTGGGTAATTCAGTCGTGCTGGGGAGCGTGTTCAATTTAATATAATAAAGAATTGCATTAAAAATAATTTTCATGCAATGTTATTTTTGCCTTCTCAATTTTCATTAAGTATAGGAGGTTGATCTCGATTAATAATTCGCGTAATTTTTGCTTTTTTTGGAAAAGCAGATAACATCAATTGACTAGATTTCCATGCCTACATAATCTCAAATTTGATTCTTAGACCGTTTTATTTTTCGCTGGTTCGTGTTACACAGCTGGATATATCTTCCGGATAAATCTACGCGATATTTTTTAGTTATCTGTATATTCAGCACTATTGTGGAACAATGAGACTTTGTCTCTCATGCCGGTACAAAAGAATAAATCATAGTTTGAGGATTTTAATCTCATTGACCAACTTAACTCGATATTCGCTAAGCACAATCAATTTTTTCGGATATCGGGTATATAGTCCCGAAATACCAATCTTCGTTATGTCTAATATTAAGCGGACGGGTGTTACGACGGAGGTGGTGGTGCCTAACAAAAAGATGTCACGGCATGCTCGTTATAATAAAAAACGAAAGCTTGAAAAGGAGAGACAGAACCCAAGAGAAACGAAATCTGACTTAATTGCAATACAAAATCTGATTTTATTATTGAAACAAGTACCAGTACCTAGCTCAATTATACAAATAGACGATGTTATTTTTGATCCAAACCGGGTATGTTTAAGCAACTGAACATAATAAACACTTAGACTGGATTCGGTTCTTCTGCGGTATGGTTATTTAGACGTGATAGGATGACCTTACCAAATTATTATCGAACATATTACGGCAAAAATTGTCTTCGTATATATGTGGTCTAACAGACACAGGGTTATTCACCTCAATAATTGTGTTTGTCCAGTCCGCAAAAATATCATGCCAGCCGGTGATCTATCCAAACTATTTATGTGTAAAAGAAACTAGCTCCGCTATAATAAACTTGACTTCGAGTCTTACTAATAATAATTTTACCCAATACTAAATCCATTATTATCATTAGCACCGGACCCAATATGCAACTCGTGGCTTATGTACACAAGATAAAATTTTATACATCGAACAAGAGTGGAAAAGCACCCCTATCTGTCCGTCGGATCGTATATCGTCAAAAAAAAGATAAAACTCGTGAAAAGGTTTTGGTTGAAGAATTATTGATTGAGATATTAGTTCGGGAATTGAGATTAACAGGTTCTGTCGGGACGCCTGAGATTCCATCCGATTTTCAAGAATTTTCGTCATACCTATAAATTTTGAATTGGATATTTATTATTATTAAGAAAAAAAATATTATAGGAAATATTATCTTTATATTGGCTCATTGAGTGGGCTAAACTCGATGATTCCATTACAAACAATAACAGTTCAGTTACAAGTGAGCAAGGAGAAAAACGAAATAACACATGTATATTTTGTTTTATAGTCTTATGCATAGTTCTATTAATATAAATACGTTCCCACAATTAATATACCTATTCTATTAAATATGGATTTATCAATAAATCGCTTATTCCTAATTGTTGCCCGTTTTTATAAACTATACGCCAATGGCGCGCTTATGTTGTTGGCGTAGACAATTTTTGATATATAAATATGAAGCTATAACACATTTGAATTTGCTATACACTACGATATTTGATATACCTATAATACACATTCAATGTCTCATTATAATTTCAGGATTTAAATCAAAAGCTACACGCGTCATGTATTTAAACAACTTGCTTATTGAAGATGGAATATGTAATGGAACTGTAGGTGTAGTTACAGGTCTCGACAAAAATATACCAAGTGTTCAAGTTGCTTTCTGTATCCAAGCGCTATAGTTTACAAATGGATTACCAGAGAGACGTCCTATTTCTATATAAACGGTCAATGGGCTTCACGAACGCAATTTCCATTGCAGAATGCATTTTCTTTGACTGTAAATAAGGCTCAAAGTCTTACTTTGCCTACTATTCTTTAGACCTTAGCAGTTATTCCAGGTCAAGCTTACATTGCCATTAGTATATGTCCCAAATGGGAACATATTCGTATTATGAGTCTTAATAGAAACGCATTTATGGTAGATTTAAGAATAGTTGACGAATATTCTCGACTAAAAAAATTGCATTTGAGGATTTAAAATCGAAGTTATGCAACTCTATATATAATTTATCCTCGTAAACGTTCCCCCTACCAAAACTTCAGATCCAAGTTTGGCTTTTTTCGTTCGATCACAAAGTTTTTTTTTAGCGAAGTGATAGCGTACTATTATTTCAAATTCCGCCAACTTTATGGACTTCCTGTGACGTACTAGGCCCGAATGGTTGTTTTCTCGGTGCCTATGGCTCTAAGCCAAGTACGAGAAGATGGAACATTTGTCACTGATTTTGAGGAAACATGGCACTTGTATACGCTTATCTGTGGTGAAATAAAATATAGCAGAAGTTGTGAGTGTTTGATTAAATAAGACGCAAGCTAGTATAAGTCAGCAAAAAGTCATAAAGACGTACCGTGAGTGTATTTTCAAAAGATTGGTGAGAGTGCCAGATACCTCTATTATGTCATCCGGAGAGAAGAATGCGGGTAGCATGCCAGTTTGAGTTTCCTTTGGTACGTAAACTTGTACGCGCACGCGAATTGGTTTACTGGCGAAGTTTAAGAATACATCAATAGCTTTGAACAATATCATGTCTGCCTTTTGTTCAACCTCAAGTACGTGGATTGCGGTAGACCAAACATGGCAATATAAGGCACAGGCGGACAAGTAATCTAAGGATACAATGCAAGTATTTTTTATTGTTAAAAACAATAGTAAATATTGGGCAGGGCAAATGTCGGTAAACAATAAGTAAAAAGCGTTTATGGTTAGTACTATTTTCGGCCAGAACAAAGTATAACATGATTGCTTTTAAAGAACAATTTCAAATAAAAAATTAATTGGCGTAATTTTTATTAGTCATCGCAGGATGATGGATGGTACAAAGGAAATGGGAGCAATTGTTTTGAAAGCAAAATTGAAATTAATTGACAGAATAGATTTCATTTACGAGTAAAATGGCGTAGATTTTATTTGCTATCATATCGTATGATAGTATAACGACAATGGAAGCAATTGTTTCGAAAGACGAAATCGAAAAGTATAATGCAGGATAAATGTTAAATACATCATTTTTATTTGCCATTGTTAGGAGAAAACTGGCAGGCTAACTTGTTTGGCGCGTATTCAATCAGGTATGGTATAATGTACAATGCAAGTAACGGATGTGGAAAACTGTGGACGTCCAACATTTTCCGCAGCATTGCGGATAAAAATGAGATTTGTATTAAAAAGAATAGACGCAGTATGATGATTGATAATACAACATTAGCGTTTATGGGAATATGTGAATTTCAAACTACAGTCAACCCATCTCTAAATGCAGCCTCTCTTTTTTCTAAATGCACAGCAAATGCTCAGTTCCATGGTGGGACTTAAGAGATAAGTACACGTTCTATGTTCTGCAATTGCAAGCTTTCTTTCGTTAATAATAACAACGTTTATTAAACAATTATTAGTGCATTGGAACGTGTGTTATAAACTTTTCGTCCGGATCCAATAACAAATGAAAACGTGCCGATTTTTTTAGGCCCACTAACTTACTATTACTACTAATTAATTCGGCACTGACCTATTATCAGTTCATTTGACAGTGACTGGCAACAATATATGACGAGATCACCAATAATCTGAGTGACTGGCACGAGCAGGTGCATCAAGATCACGTTGAGGTCATCAATAATCTGTTACACCGACCTATCATCAATTGATTCGGCACGAGCAGCATCAGGATCACGTTGGCAGCGTCTGTTGAGGTCATCAATGATCTGAGTGACTGGCACACGTCTGTCGACATTGATCGATTTTAACCAATAGTATCTATAGTTTCATCACGTGAGTTAAATAATAAAAATCTTCCTTACGATCGAACGAAATCTTTACACTTTTCCTCGTTAGTGTTTACCAAAAAGAAACGAGAGAACTTTACAATACAATGGCAAAACGCAAACAACAAAAGCACAAAACTCTGCAACAAGACGCGTTCAACAAAACTATTAACAAACTTCTTTTCAGTCTCGATGAAGAAAGAAAACAAGAGAATAAAAAAGAAGTCTTTTGCTTTCCCTGGAAACGATATTTGATTATTTTTATCATACTAAATTTGTTTTTCGTTATCTTTGATCCCGCAGGCAAAAACTGCTATTCACCTTATTTTATTTTCATTTTTAGCGTACTATCGATTTTAGGTTGGGAAGA